AATTGCTTCAGCAATAACACAGAATTACACTGCTCTTGTGCTTAGTCATAATGATAGTCTAGGTTTCTCTTTTAAATGTGATGGCCACATGCCAAAATTTGGATACTTTGATTCAAGATGGCAGTAAAAAATGAGGGTAGAGAGGGAAATAACCTATTTTAATAGGCCTGTACAGCTGAAGAAATAGGTTACTGGGTCTGTCGTGTCTGTTGATACACGTGGCCCCTATGGACAGCTACTGTTGTAACAGAGATCGTAACCTAAACACAATGTGCATGTAACAGAAAACTTCTGTGATATTTAATATAGTTCATAAACTTATTTGGGGACTACAAAGTGCTTATATTGGACAGGGATAGTAAGCTGAGGCACCTGAAAACAAAGGGAAGTTATGTATTGCCCCAGTTCCAGAAAGAGGCATTTTTATGCAGTTGATACAATGCTGATCAGATTTAACCCAGAGTTGAGAAATAGCTGGCTCCAGGTACTACTGATGGACTTGACTCTAAAGCCGATTTACATTTGTATCCAGAGGCATATAAGGATGTAACTGATAGGCACTCATAATGGCTATGAATAACTCTGTGTTGTTTTAGTTCCCCTAATGAATGCTAAGGAAGTAGAGGTCGGAATGTGTAGTGAAAGGAGCGCGCTGCCTTTTGGGTGGTAGGTAGCTATTGAATTTTATTGGCTATAATATGAAACATCACTGTTGTAGGAGGCAGCCAGAGAGTTTAAGCAGCATCAGTAATAAATGTGAATAAAACCTTGGATAGGGAATAAATTGGAAATGAAATATATTAAGAGTAGGGGGAATTGTTGAACCTAACTTGGTGGTGTATGTAACTGAGCTACACTGAGTGAATTCTAAGTGGAGGGTATTTAATGAATTAGTTTTTTTTTCATAACGGCATTGGCATAAGTAGTTTTTGTTTACAACAGTATATTCCAGTTCTCACCCTTCCCTGTCTTGGCCGGTTTGTTGGTATCAACACTTGCATGGTTGCACAGTGATGCAGGTGAAAATGAAGTGTTTCTCTAGGGGATGGGAAGGTAAGAAGCGACTATCAGCTAGATCAGTTTCTTGAACTAATTCACTATGTGGACACAAATGTTTGTTTTGGCAAGCCTGGGGGAGTGATGAGAGCAGAAATGGATTGGCTCATGGTGGTGGTTACTTAAGTAATACTGCTGTTGTAAGAATATGCCTAAGAACACATGACCATGGATAGGTGCTTCGCATTTGTTTTATTTGTAACTATTTTTTTTCTCTGTTAGGGCTAAATAAAACTTTGCTTTGTTTTACTGTTGAGCCTCAAAACTAGATAAGACTGGTAAGGGATTCATCCTAATTCCATGAGGTTGTTTATGGAGAGACCTGTTTCTGTTATCAACTCAGTTATTCATCTTTCTTCGACAGTACACAAGATCACTGTAGAGTCAGCATACTTTCAGAGCTGTTGAGAACAGAGAAGAACTGGCCTGGCAGCCTATAACTGTGCTTTGAAATGGGTACATCCAAGAATGGAATAAGGCTGTACTAGCATGGATTTTTTGCTTTGTGGATGTTTGGAAAATACGGAAATAGGACATCACACAGAATCTCAAGCTGGCTGTTAAAATATCAAATAATGTGAATTAAAATGTCTGCAATGCTTGTTCTTGCCTGCAACTTTTAATGGGAAGTCTCAAATAATAATAAATTATTTATAGATCAGCTAGTTGCAATCTTGAGAGATCTTTGTGTACATCCCAAGACCAAGAGTGTGTGGAATAATTGCTGTTGGAACTGCGGTTGCAGTCATTAAAAAAAAAAAATATGTATAGTGAAAGAAAACCTCCAAGTTGTGTAGCGATACAAGGTTTGCAGAAAGATCAGGTTCTTGCTTTGGTAAGTCTACAGTGGTATGATGAACAGCCCGAAGAAGTGCACAATAAAAGTTTAACTGCATTCAGAATTTGCCAGTCTCAAACTGTTCATTAATTAAAGCAGACAATTTCAGACCTGAAGAAAAAATAAAAGCACAGACAACACTTAGCTGGCAGTCGTTTGATGGTCGAGTGTGCAGGAGCCTTTTTTCAAAAAAATACTTATATGCTCCTTAGTATTTGCAAATACCTTACCTTTCAGCTGAAGTTCTTTTTGGGGGGGTTTCTTTGGTTGGTATTTTTGTTGGTTTTGTTTTGTTTTCTATTGTTTGTTTGTTGGGTGTGGTGTGTTTTTTTTTTAGTTTCAAGCCAACAAGTATGCATTTTGCAGTCATAAAAAACATGTTTGTTGAAAGAAAACTTCCAAGTTGTGTAGTGGTATATGGCTTGCAGGAAGCTCTGATTCTTGCTCTGGTAAGGCTACACTGGCCTGATGAAGCACAAACCAAAAGAATTTGCTAGGAATTTTGTGCTGTCCCTTT